TGGTTGCCTAGAGTCAGATGAATGCTCGGCGGTCCCGACGGGGCGCGGACAAGAGCTGGAGGCAGGGAGCTGGCTGGCCGGGGCTCGTCCAAGCCTGGCCAGCTCTGGGCCCTGGGCGAGCTCGGCGTTTCTGAGTCATCCACAGGCAAGAGCCCCTTCCCCGCCCACCCTCGTGGATGGGGTGACCTGAGGTCACCCCATCCACCCCAGATCTCAGCTTCCTCTTCTGTAAAATGGGAGCCATTGTCTCAAGAAAAGCCCCCACGCTTGGAGACAGGACACAGAGGGAAAGAGCTGTCACTGTAAAAAGCGGGGTTCAGCATGTCCTTCCCCGGTGGTGGGCAGTGTCTGCAGGCCACCCCTGAGTTCTCCGGGCACCTCAGTGACTGCCCCGCCTCAGACGTGGGCCAGGATCTCTTTCTGGCCTTCATGGAGCACATCAAACTGGGAACTTGTCTTTCCTTCTGTTTTTCTCTTTTTTCACTTTCCTTTTAATCTCAACTGCAAGAGTCGGACACGACCGAAGCAACTGAGCACGCACACAAAAGGTGGAGCTGCTGTCCAGTTGACGGCACCCGGTCCATCATGGATCCACACGCAGGTCCTTGGCTTGCTGCTCGGTCTCCAGGCCCTTTCCTCCCTTCCCCTGCCCCCTCAGCAAAAGGCAGCCCTTCCAAGTGTTTCCCGGACACCGTCTGACGGCGTGTGCTCAGGCAGACTGGTCCTCTATGTTTTGTCTGCACGTCATTTCAATTAACGTAAACAGCGCTGCGTAGTAGCTCATATGCTTTCTCTTACTTTTTCCATTCGGCTCAGGGTTTGGAAGACCCATCTGCACGGCTGTCTCCTTGGTTCGAACCATGGCTGGGTTTTCACCCAGCACATCTTACGCCCCCGCACCAGCCCCCACCCCACCTCTGGCCATGCCCCTTGCAGCAGGGGTGCGCAGAGCCCCGCTGGGCTGTTGCCGGCAGTGACCGCACACACGCAGGGTGGGCACCCGGGTCAGTCGGCCGACGTCTCAACAGCACAGCTGCCACGGTCTGCGTGCCCACGCGGAGGCCAGGAGGAGTGCGGTACACACGTCCCAACCAAGGCTGGCCTTCCTTTTGCATAAGTGATGCGTGCGATGACAACAAAAGTCATGCTTACACCAGCAGCTGACCCCCAGAGGGCCGGCCGTGCGCTGGGCACGTGTGTCGTCTCCTTCAGCAGCCCTGGAAGGGAGGCCATTCTGAATCCCCATGTTATAGCTGAGGAAGGTAAGGCTTGTGCAGAGCTTCCCTGCACCCCTTCCCTTGTGCCTCAGCTGGTAAAGAATCTGCCTGCAATGTGGGAGACCTGGGTTCAATCCCTGAGTTGGGAAGATCCCCTGGAGACAGGAAAGGCTACCCACTCCAGTATGCTGGCCTGGAGAATCCCATGGACCGAATAGTCCATGGGGTCGCAAAGAGTTGGACACGACTGAGCAACTTTCACTTCACTTCACTTCCCTGCACCTCAGGTTCCCAAGCCAGAGAAAATGAGGGCCTGGGAAGAGAGCTGGCTTGCAAGGCCACTGGTGAGCCAAACCCACAGCAGAGCAGCCAGCGGCCACCTCACTGCCCTTCTGAGCACCTCCACGCCCCCGGTCCAGTGAGGGTGGAGGATGGGTTTTAAAGCCTAGAAAGGACAACGCTTAACCCCAGGATCTGAGGCACCGCACTGGGGCTTCAGCCTCTGTAGCAGCCTCCTGTCTGTCCACATCCACCACTTCCAAAGCACTGGCTCAGCACCCCACACCCCCTTCCCATTTCAGGGCAAAGGAGAACTTACACTCTTCCCAGGCAAACCTTATTCCCTGCAAAGAATCGCACCTTCCCCTCTTACAGTACTGGCACCACCGTCGGCTGGAACAGCCCTAGCCCGAGAATTTTTTCAGGGTTTTCTCGGTGGAATGGGCATTACTGGCCCCAGTTTACAGATGGAAGCTGCAGAGACTTGTTCAAGGTCGCACCAGGAGGGAGCCAAGAACCGTGGAGGGCCAGGGTGGGTCCATGGAGCCTCTGGAACCAAGTCAGCTAGCCTCTCTGCAGGACCAGACGGGGTGACAGGAGGCACGTGACCGGGAAGGGAAGCGCTTTGTGCCCGAGACCACCAGCTGTGGGGGCCAGGTCAGTGGCAGTGGCTGATCCAGGAGAGGAGGTCAGCCCGCAAGCCAGCTCCACCAGGGGGCTGCGTCAGGGGACACAGAGGTCAGATCCCCTACAGGCCACCAGGCCTCCTCCACATCCTACACCCCGCAGAAAACCCAGTGCGTCATCCCAAAGGTACCGATATTCCTGCGTCCAGACCACAGTCCCCAGTGGGAGGACCAAACCCTTCCGTTGGTGTCTCCTCCTGCACTGGGACCACAGGGGTGAATCCAGTTTCTGCTCAGGGGTCTTTCAAAGATAGTCTGTGGCTGAGGTTTGCAGCATCTCCTGAAGACAGACACCTGGGCCCAGGGATGAGTCAAGGGGCCATTTACAAAGAGGGAACCTGGGCGCCTGACCTGGCCTCTGTGACTGCTGTGGGTGGTGGCCTTGTGACAGGAAGGTCTGGGCCTCAGTTTTCCCATCTGTAATGTGAGGATTTTCTTGAGCTCCAAAATCACTGAAGATGGTGACTGCAGCCATGAAAGTAAAAGACACTTGCTCCTTGGAGAAAAGCTATGACAAATCTAGATGGCGTATTAAAAAGCAGAGACATCATTTTGCCAACAAAGGTCCGTATAGTCAAAGCTATGGTTTTTCCAGTAGTCCTATATGGATGTGAGATTTGGACTATAAAGAAGGGTAAGTGCCAAATAATTGATGCCTTTGAACTGTGATGTTGAAGACTCTTGAGAGTCCCTTGGACTGCAAGGAGATCAAACCAGCCAATCCTAAAGGAGATCAACCCCGAATATTCATTGGAAGCACTGACACTGAAGCTGAAGCTCCAATACTTTGGCCACTAATGAGAAGAGCCGACTCATTGGAAAAGATCCTGATACTGGGAAAGATTGAGGGCAGGAGGAGAAGGGGATGACAGAGGGTGAGATGGTTGGATGGCATCACCGACTCAATGGGCATGAGTTTGAGCAAACGCCGGGATATGGTGAAGGACAGGGAAGCCTGGCGTGCTGCGGTCCACAAAGAGTCGGACATGCTTTAGCAACGGAACAATGATGACCACATGGGGCTACCTGTACCTGCTCTCGGTGAAAGGTGAATAAAATCATGCAGGCCACGCAGCCAGCCCAGAGCGGGTGCTCAGAGCCGCATTCAGCACTGCTCCCTGAGCGCCCCCTCCCATGCTCAGCTCTGGAGACACAAGCAACAAGACCACCAGGATGACTGTGCTCAGGGAGAGGATGGTCAAGGCCAACCCAGCACGTGTGGCTCAGCGTGGCAGGAGCCACGATGGGGGAGGACCCACTGCGGGGCGTCGGGAGAGCGCCCACCTTGAGAGCTGACACCAGGTGGGTGAGTGGTGGCCAGTGGACTTGGTGGAAGGTGTGTGCAGAGAAAGCAGGGTGACAGGCCAGGCAGGACCCCTCAGGCCCCTTCCACGAAGGACCACCCCCTCCTCCAGCCCCACCTCCAGGCAGCCCACATCCAGGGCCTGCCTCTTGCTCCAAACCCACCTCTTCCCCATCCCTTGCACAGGTGCCGACCCTGATAAGCGTCTGGCACCCACACCCATCTCAGCATCGACTTCCAGAAGCCAACCCAAGCCAGTCGACACCAGGCGCAGCCCCAGAAGGCAAGAAAGAGGGTCCCTCCCCACCCCCCCCCCGCCGCCGCCCGGCACTGAGGCCCCCCGGCGGGCAGCAGGCGCGCGGGGGAGCAGGTGCAAAGTCATGGGGAGAACGGGGTGGGAAAGCACTGAGGGTGTCAGTGTCGGGGTTCACGCATTTGAGTCACGTTGGGGACAAAAGCTGCGCTGAGTGACGGGCCACGGCAAGCCCGTGTGAACCCTGGGGGGCCTCTCTGAGGCTCTCTCCTCTCGGGAGAGCAGGTCAGAGGGACGCTGCAGACCAAGCCTGGAGCCCAGGAGTCTAAGTGGCTGAAGTTCAAGGAAGATGTAACCCGACCAACATGGGGCTGTCATGTCAAAGTTGGGAAAACTGGGACTTCCCCATGAGTCCATGGGTTAGGATTCCTGTGCTTCCACTGCAGGGGGCACGGGTTCGAACCCTGGCGGGGGAACAAAGGTCCTGCCTGCCAGGACTCGGAGCCAGAAAAAAAAAAGCAAGGACCCTGAGTTATGGGATGGAGACTGATGCCCCGCAGGTTCTCACTCACAAGGACGCAGCCCTCAGGCCCTTGGACGTGGCCCCAAGTAGGAGCTACAAGCAGATGGGGACAAGGCATAGGGCTGTCCCCCTCCAGGCAGCTCGCACCCCACCCTGCCCCCCGGGCCTCTGATGAGAGTCAGGGATACAGTGCGGATAAGGGAGGACTGCGCCCCGGGGGAACTGCAGTGGCAGGGCCCCAGGGCCCCGGGGGGCTCCTGGCTGATCACAGCGGGAATGCAGAGGTGCCTGGGGGAGGCTGGCTCCCTCGGTAGCCTGTCCCGAGAGGCAGGGTCAACTCCAGCAGGGACCCCAGGACACGGTGCAGACACCCAGGGGCACTCCTGGAGCCCGAACCGGTGACAGCCACTCTGGTCAAAGCTGACAAGGCTGGATGGCTGTGGCGGGTGGTGGTGAAGGGACTCGAAGGCTCGAGAAACGGGCAACTGGAGTAGACGCGCTGCCAGGCCAGAGAGGTCTGGGGAAAGGCCGGGAGGGCAGAGGGGGTGCGGAGACGGAGGGGCTTCTGCATGACCACAATGTTCCGGGTGGTCGTTCTCCGTAAAGAAGGCAGGGCTGACGGCAGGCGGGACAGGCTGCCACGAGCCCGGCCCGCAGATGGCCCTGGAGAAGTGGGACCCAAGCATGCAAGGCCAGGGGGCGGCCCTTTGCCCCCAGGGGCCCGGGCTTTGCAGTCATCATGATGAGCAGCCGGGCTGGAGGCCGGCCACAGGGTGAGGCCTGCAGAGCGTCCTGACCGAGAGTAAGGAGGCGGGACAGACAAGGGCACTTCTCAGTCGGTGCCAACAGAAGAAATCAAGTACAGAAGGACCGACAGCTGGGGGAGGACCCAGCAATAAAAAGTCTTGATACCTTTGTAAACAAATGCAGGCTCAGCCACTCGCCCCTGCTCAACAGCCAATAAACTGAAGGGTGGGCTTCGGTGGAGAAGCAAGGACTTTATTCAGAAAAGTCGGAAATCTGGGGAAATGATAGACTTACATGCAGAGACCTTGCTGAAGATTCTGCTCAGCCGTGACGATTTCTAAAGGGAAAGCGGGCTGCCGTCTCAGTTAATCATTAAGGCAGAAGGTCAGATTCTTCATTATTTTTCCACGGCGTGCAGGCCTGCTGACTTCCCTGATCTTCTCTAAACACTGTCTTGCCCTCGTGGTTGGCCTGCAAATTCACTAAGGGGGAGCTGGGGAAGAGAGTCAGTCCTTCTTTAACTGATTTCTCAGCCCTATTCCTTCTAATCCAGGAAAGGAAGCAACAGGTTAGGTAAGACCCCCCTCCACCAGCTCTCCCAGCCTCTTAACAGCTCATTCAGCCATTGAATGGAAATGCCATCAGGACCTGCCCCTGGGCCCCCAGGATAGGAGTAGGCAGGTTTAGACACTAAGTCATGTCCAACTGTTATGCAATGCCATGGACTGTAGCCTGCCAGGCTCCTCTGTCCATGGGACTCTCCAGGCAAGAATACTGGAGTGGGTTGCCATTTCCCTTTCCAGGGGATCTTCCCAACCCAGGGATTGAACCTGAGTCTTTTATGTCTCCTGCATTAGCAGGTGGATTCTTTACCACTGAGCCACCAGGAAAGCCCATTGCATATGTTTAGAAAAGAAGAATGTGAAATGTGGCCTAGTGATCTCAACTTCATGATTAAGGTCTAAGGAAAACAGGGATAAGCAAACAGAAAAGGAGCCAAAGGAGCTGCTGACACACTGCAGCCCGCTCCCATTCCTGACTCAATCTTCAGACTCGGGACTCATTGACTGAAGAGTCGGCTGATCCCCAAGGAGGAAGGACCCCACAATATACCAGCAAGTACATGTGGCAATATTTTCCCCAGTGCTCCTCCAAAAGGGACCTTGTCCATCTACTTGGCTAATAACCCAAGGGGGAATGCAGAACACCCAAACATTTGGAGGACTGTTGGACATTGGGCCTGAACTGGCTTGGACACCAGGAACGTGATATCTCATGAAGGTGCCTGCTAGATGGGGACCTACAAACATCAGGTAATAAGGGCAGTCCCGTCCGAAGTCCACCTTACATGGAACCACAGGCTCCACAGACCCATCAAGAAGTGAACTTTCTGACCCCCAAATGAACACCCAGGGTCAGCATACTTAGCAGTCGGTGCCCTTTCCACATTGGTTCTGGTCTCTGCGGTGAGAGCAATGGGAGAGACTGGAAGGCTTTGGAACTGACCCCTCCTTAGCCAACATCACGAATCAGAAACAGCATCACATCCCAGGAAAGGAGGCGATGGAGATCAGTACCACCTTGAAGGAGATAAAGGATGCGTGCTGGTCCCACCATGCCTCAGGGCAATTCCTGAAGGTCCTGGAGGATGACACAAACCCCCAATAGGCCCCATCAAGGCCAGCCTGGGTCACAGGGCTGTGCCGGGGGCAGGGGGTTGGGGGGCAGTCTCTGCCAGAGCAGATGAACACAGTCCCAGGGACCAGGTATGCAACCACCTGAGCAAATGCATCCTTTCCTAACCCAGGCGAAAAGAAGGATTAGCATAACGCACATCCAAGACCTCCCTGGAGGTCCAGTGGCTAAGACTCCACGCTCCCAATGCAGGGGGCCCAGGGTTCGATCCCTGGTCAGGGAAGTAGATCCCACATACGCAACTAGGAGTTCACATGCTACAACTGAAGATTCTGCATGCCCTAACAAAGACTGAAGATCCGATGTGCTGCAACTAAGCCCTGGCACAGCCAAATACAAACATATTTTTTAAGAAAGAAAGAATGCACATCCCCCTGGGAAGAGCGACAATATACATCTACAGTCCTGGGGGCGGTGCCAGCTCCCCTGGCCCCAGTCATCATACAGACCAGAGAGCCTGTGTCTCGGTCCACAGCAAATCACAGGGATCAGTTTATCAATGGCAGTTAGTTGATTAGGCCAAATAAGCAAGGTGGAGCCAGACCACTAAATGCCTTGGTGAGACACACATGCTCCGGGGGCTGCCTCATCCTCCCCCATTCTTAGAGGCAGCAGTCAGGGGCGCTCTGGACCACCCCTCCAAAGCAAAGGACAAACTATTGCAGCGTGCTCTTCCCATGACGAAAAAGGAAGCACCACGCCTGGCGGTTTAGATTCTAGAAGCAGCAACCCCCGCTCCCCACAGCCGCTACCCTACCCCCACCCCGGACACCGCTCCACCCGCATGCTGGGTCACGCAGATGCCGCCAGCTCTGAGTAGGGCCCCACCAGGAACGGGCTCCACCAGGAACAGGCTCCACGGCGAACACCCCAGCTACACCGTGAGCCCCAAAGGCTCCATTGAGCAGAGGCACCCGGGGCAGGAAAAGATCTCACTGGAGTCTAGTGAAACTTTTGGGGAAACAACCCCCAGAGAACTATGTGGTCCTAATAAAGACAGGACGGGCTTCCCCGTCAGCGGCAAAGAATCTGCCTGCCAGTGCAGGGGACCCAGGCTCCATCCCTGGTCCAGGAAGATCCCACATGCCATGGAGCAACAAAGCCTGAGCCCCGCAGCAGGAGAAGCCGCTGCAGGGAGAAGCCCACACAGCACAGCGGCAACAAGGAGGGCCCAGCACGGCCACAGATAAATAAATACATTTTTCTTTTCCAAAAAAAGAAAGGAATGATGGCCGTCTGGCCAGAGCAGAGGACAGAGAGCAGACGCATTGGAAGCAGCGAGAGCACGCGATCCGGGTCAAGATGCCGGGTCCGCTGCGGAAGGAGACGGGGCGGGCGATGTCAGTGGTACCTGGTGGAAGAGGCAGTGCCGCTGACTCAAGGGCACACACGGCGCGCGGGGTGGATAAACTCAGTTTCCTGGGTAACTCAGGCAAAGGCGTCCCCGGGCAGCTGCCCTGCAAGCCCAGAGCTCCACACTTTGGCGGGTCGGCGGGGCTCCGAGTGATGGGGTGAGGGATACGAGAGCCACGGGGTCGCCGGGCTCTCCGAGGGACGTGTGTTGAGGGCAGGAGGGCAGGCGTGAGAGAGCTGGAGGGGCTGCAGTGTTTGCACCCGAGTCCGGGAAGAGCTCCTTTGTGACGCAGCCTACATTCGGACCAGCTTAACCCCACGGCGCCCACTGACTGTATGGTCACAGCGCGCCTGTGTGCCGCGCCCTTGGCGGGGAGCGGTCAAGCCAGAGCAGCGAGGTCCTGAACCAGAGACCTGACCCGGGACACGAAACAGGCGGAGGAGGCCGGGCATGGGGCACCCCGTGGCCACCCCCTTTGAAGATCCGCACCGGCCAGGTCACGGCTCGCGGGCCCACACTGGGGGGTCCTCCGTGGTCGATGAGAGCGTGTGGCCAGTGTCCTATATCTGAGGGCATGCCTCACCGCTCTGCAGAGTTGGCACCCAAGACCAACAAAATAGGGCAACCAAGGGGGAAAGGGCAGTGGGGCTGAGGTCTCTGACCGGCCCACCCCCAGCCCGCTGGGCGCCCCTCCCCTACCCCAAGGTGTCTCTTGAACAAGGATGACCTCCACTCACATCCGCCCCCCAGGTGTCTCCCCGGCCTTCCCCGTGGACCCAGCTCTTCCACGGCTTCCAGTGGCCCCACTTGGGTGAACTTGAAGTCAGAGGCCAGAGCTCACGTGCGGAGTCGCAGATTCCTGCTTCCTGCACACCCAGAGAGCAGCCCTCTTCTTCTCCATGAAGCCACAGCTTTGGGGTTGCCTGTGTTCACGGGCACCCCGAGATCTTCACAAAGCAGAGGAGGGAAGGTGCCCACCCAGCCCCATCTCCGTTAAATAAGACGTCTATTATGGGAAATTTACACATATCAGGACATCCTAGCCTTTCCAGAAAATTGGGCTGCCCTCATTTCTGGCTTTCCAGAGGCCCAGGTGGAGGGAGATCCTACCCACTCACTGGTGCCCAGTCAGATGGAGACACCTGAGGGCATCCAGGAGGAGGTGCGGGGCAAGGGGAAGAGGTTGTCTGGAGCCCCGGATCGGGGAGCCCCGCCATTAGCATTCTCGGTGAGAGGAGGGATCTGGGGTGAGGAGTGGAGAGAGGAGAAAGAAACAAGAGAGACACCATGTCTCGGTCCCAAGCTGGACCTCACAAGGCTGACTCTCTCGGGGAAGGGGCGGGGGTGGTATCAGGACTCAGCCCCCGGGACCAGGAGCATTTCTGGGTCACATCCCTGGCCCCATTCCTAAGAGCTGCAGGTGCTCACAATGGAGGTGGCTCCCTGGAGTCCACAGCTGAGTGTGGCTTTACCAAACCCCAACATCAGCAGAACAGCCCCCTCCAGACTACTCAGCAGAGGGCCCTCCTTTCCTGTGATCCTAAGAAGAACCCAAGCAGATGGGCTTTTCCCCATCTTGTAGATAAGCAAATGAAGCTCACCTTCTGTGTCCCCAAGCACCTATGAAGTCAGAAAACACAGAAGAAGAAGAATAAAGATGTAAAGAAAGGAGAGCAGAAAGTCAGTTAAGGGTACAATTCCTACAACTCCCATGTTGGCACAGAGCTTCCTAGCTGCCAAAGCAAAAAAGACATGCAGTGTGTTTTAAGATTTATATAGACCATGGTATGGAGCCCTGTCAGGATCTCATGGCTCCCAGGAGTGCAAGCTGTTGGCTGCAGACTAGGCGTGTGCACACTTCCAGGTTGAGACAGAGAAACAAAGTTTTGCTGGGGATTCCATGCCGAGCAACGAAGACAGCCCTGTCTCTGGCAGACTGAGGGCTTCTCTGCTTTAAGCCCCTGGATCTGACGAGGCAAGCAGAGGATCTCAGGGTTCCCTGGCAGCCACGCGACTCTGTGGGGCAGTCAGGGGCAATGAGGGGACTTAGCTCAAGTCTGTCATTGTCCGCCCTGCACTGGGGACTCTGCCCCAGGAAATGACCCCCTGAAATGAAATTAAAAAGTCACTAGACTGGGCATAAGATAGGACCACAGAGTAAATAGGAGATAACCCAGCCTAGCCCCAGGGGCACCAAATAAGGGACTCCCACCTGGAGAGTGGCTCTCCAGCGTGACTCACATGTGTCATACGATACAAGAGGATGTGTGTGCAAGATGGTAAAGAGGAAAGGACAACACAGTGGTGGAGGCACAATGGTGCAGCCACAGAGACCTCAGGAGTAAATTCTGTTCTTCTCAGACTGATCCAGCCCAAGAGGAACTATCTCCCACTGTCAGCGCCACAATCCACCCCTCTCTTCACATGTCCTGTCTCTGGTAGAGTCATCCAGCTCTCTTTTTTCCCTCAACCCGATTTTTGCCAGGCATATGCTCACCCAGAATAAAGACTACATTTCCCAGTGCTCCTTGTGGCCAATTGTGGCCATGTGGTTAATTTCTAGCCAATGGGATGTGAGCAAAGTGAACTTTATGTTCCACTTCCAGGTCATGCTCTTAAAGAGACAGCATGGGTCTTCACCTTCCCTCTCCTCCTCGCCTCATCCTGGGGAATGCAGACCTGATGGGAGCCACCCTGGACCAGGCAGATGAGGGCAAGATGCCAGGGATGGCAGGGGCCATGACACCTTCATGGAGCACAGCTGGCCCTACAACCCAGATGTCTATGGGAGAGAAATAAATGTCCACCCTGTGTGTGTGTTATATGTGCTGTCACTCATTGTGTCTGACTCTTGGCGACCCCACAGACTGTAGCCCGCTGGGGTCCTCTGTCCATGGAATTTTCCAGGCAAGAATACTGGAGTGGGTTGCCATTTCCTTCTCCAGGGGATCTTCCTGACCCAGGGATCGAACTTAAGTCTCTTGTGTCTCTTGCATTGGCAGGAGGATTCTTTACCACTATCGTCACCTGGGAAACCCCCCGTTTAGTCAGTTATTTTGAGTCTGTCCTATGCAGCCCACTCTATGTCCCAACTAAGAAACCATCTCGACTGATGGTCACTCTGACCCCTCACCTCCCAGGCCAGTACCTGTGAGTCTCAATAGTTAAGCCCCAACCATTAAAAATAACCACAGCCGCCAATTTCTTGGTGTTTCTCCTCACCCATATTTCTTCATGGACCACCCCTGCCCCCCAGAAAAACATCACAATTCCAAATTTACAGCTGAAAAACAGTGAGACTCAAAGAAGTTAGGCAATTTGCCAAGATCACACAGCTAGCAACCCCGAGTACCACTATTCAGAGACCGGCAGACTGGAAAATCCATCCTCCTAGTGTCTGCCCTTCTGTGCCTCTCTCAAAGCCACGCCCTCCTCTCCATCACCCTGGGCCTGGCTGCCAAGTCCATCCCTTCCCACCTCATGGCCTCCGCTCTCCCCCCAGCAAGGCAATCTGAGGGCATCACCACCACCCTGATTAAGCTTGTGATGGCTCCCCATTGCCTCCAGGCAAAGGCAGCTGTCTCACCACACAATGATGTTTAGGGGCCCTGGTACCCGGCCCCAGACCAACCCTTCCAGGCCACCCTGACCCTCACTGACTAGCTCCTTCCCACTCCTGACATATCCTACTTATCACGCCAGACACCCAGAGCCCCTGCCATGGGGCTGGCACCATGCCAGGCCCTTGGCCCCACCAGGGCCCAGAGAGGGCGGGGCTGCATGCCCATTTTACAGGAGAGGAGCCTGAGGCTCCAGCAGATGGGTGACTCACCCAGGGACCCACAGTCAGGGGTCCCTGGAGTGGGGACTCAAACCCAGATTGTCCATCTTGCATGTCTATTCACTTCCCAGGTCGTCTAATTCAGGAGCGAGTGAGGCCCCAGCTGACACCAGGCTGTAGCCACATTATGTGGTGGGCGGGGGAGGTGGGAATACTTTGTGATAGAAGGCTCAGAGAGCTGAGGTGACTGTCAAGTGTGCACAGCTGGGGAGCACCCCGGAGGACTGAAGCCAGGAGCCCAGACACCCCTGGATGAGCCCCCCTTGCACCCCAGGAATCGTAGGTCTGTACGTGGAAAGTGCCAGGCTGCCCCTTCCTCCTGCACAAACTTGGTTGAGTCCTAGCCTCCTCCTGCACACAGGGTCCCGGACAGGTACAGATGGAGGCCGGCAGCTCCGTGCACCCTCTGGGCCTCCTGAGGGAGGAGGTGTCCCAGGCAGGGTGCTGTGTGTGCGCAGGGTGGTGGACGGGGAGCACCAGGCTGGCACCCTCCCCACTCAGCACTCAGCTCCCCTGTCGGACCTCCAACCCCTAAAGCGTCCCCACTTTCTGGGCTGGGGTCAGGAGGATCTATGCTCAGGGCCTCTGCGAGCCAGTCCTGGGCAGACCTTTGACCCCCAGCCTCTGCGTGAGGAGGGGACTGTCGGGAGCTCAGGGGGACCCCCAGCTCCTCCCACAGCTCAGGGTCCTGGGGGGCCCTTGTCCCCCTGGGCAAAGAGTCGGACATGACTGGGCAACTAACACACACACACACAAGTAGCTTCAGTCGTGTCCGACTCTTTGTGACCCCACTGACTGGCCCGCCAGGAGCCTCTGTCCATGGGATTTCCCAGGCAAGAATACTAGAGAGGACTACCATTTCCTTCTCCAGGGGACCTTCCCGACCCAGGGAAGGAACCTGGGTCTCATGTCTCCTGCATTGGCAGGCAGGTTCTTTATCACTAGCGCCACCTCTCTGAACTTGGTTCATAGCAAATGCTTCTCAATCCTTCCTTCTCTGGAGGACAGGACTCAGCTGGGTGCTAAGCACTTTTTAAATCTTCTCTGGAAAGGCCCTGGAGTGTTTCCTTCTCTTCAGGGCTGTGCCCTATGAACCAGGGCAGGCAGATCTGGGGCCTAGCGAGGGCAGGGGGCGCTGGAAGCTGCACCTATGTGACCCTCACCTACTCAATGACTGCTGTGTCTGCTGCCCCTGGGGAGCCAGGGACAGAAATCTGCTTCTGGAGCTCAGCATTCTAGGCCCACTGCCTGAGGTCAGCCAGGCCAGCCAGCCAGCCAGCCAGCCATGTATTGAATCAATAAATATTCTCTAAGCACCTGCTCTCCCCAGACCATTCCAGCCCCAGTAGCTTCAGGGCACCAGGGACACTCAGAGAAGTATTAACATGGTCCTTTGCTGACAGCAGACATATCGGCACATCATGATGACACCAGGCAATGCCTGCTCTAGGAGAGCTGTAGATCTCGTGTAGGGGGATCTCACGGGAAAAATTAAAATTAACACATAGGAGCAGAGGCTTACCAGAGAGGGAGAAAGCAGGCTGGGATTTGAGGCATGTGTAGGAGTTCATCCAGTAGGCAGAACGGGACTGGATATTTGAAGCGGAAAAGTGTGAGGGATAATAAGAAAGGGGATGCTTGGTAAGGCTGGAAGGTAGGGTGGGCAAGGGGGCACCAGGGGAAGGCAGGTCTTCAGCCAGATGGGGAAGGGCCTTTGTCCCAGGCTGGCCCTGAAGTACAAGTTTCCACCAAGGAGCCTTTCAGAGGGAGCGGCCTGTGGAAAAGGCAACGTAAGCAGCTCTTCTCCCTCCCAGCCCATCAGAAAGCCCACGTCTTACCTGCATCATGGGATTCCAGCTATTCAGTTTCTTCTGGGGAACACACGGAGAGGGGAGAGAACTGTGAAGAAGGAAGTTGGGGACTCTGGGTCAGGGGAGGGGCAGGATGCTGGTAGACTGGGGTAGTACTGTGGTCCTCCTAGGAGGACCCTGTCCTTCCAGTTCTGAGACCCAAGTCCCTGGGTCCAACCTAGAGAAGCAGCAAATCCATAGGTTCCAGATGTGGGGCCACCCCACTCCACCCTACCCAGAGGTGTAAGCCAGGCCTTCCCATCACCTGGACCCTTCCTCTGCAGACCCTGCTCCATTCACTCCTCCAGGAGCAAAGATCTCATCCTTCTGAGGGCCTGGAGGCACACAGCCTTCTGACACATTTTTCACAGATAGATAGTTTTTCCTTTGGCTGAGTTAGGTCCACTCTATAACTCTTCCACTCTCGCCCCAGTCCTGGCTCTGTCCACATGGGCCACAGAGAACAAGTCTGGTCAGTTTATCCCTGAAGGTTTCAACATTTCTGTCCCCAATGGGAACAGCAGGGGTGACGGTCCAGAGTTGAGACAAGCTCAGCTGTTTCAGCAAAGAGGCAAACGGAAGCAGGGCAGTGGGGGGAGGCATCGAAGAGGCAGAAAAAGCAGGTCTCCTTGGAGGCCAAATAGGCAAACCTCAAGAGTGGGCCTTCTCATTCTTGGAGCAGAAAACATGGGCTGAGGGAGGTTCTGGGTGATGGGCAGGGAGCGCTGAGGTTTGCAGAAGGGAACAGCCAGGGGGGAGGACAGAGACCAAGGCGGAAATCAAAACTTTCCTCGTGATAACTCTGGCTCAAGCGGACAGGCTCGGGAGGCCACCCCAGCCTCCACCGGGGAGAGCAGGGGGACCCAGGGGGTGCCTGGAGCCGAGCCCAGGCCCCCCTCTCAGCATGAAAGGGCAGACGGTAGTGGCGAAGACGCTAGGGTGGGCCCCCGCTCTCCTGTCTCTCAAAGGAGGTGGGCCTGGGCCTGGTGACCTCCCCCCAAATCTCCGGCTGCTGCTCAGAGCTCCAGGCCTCTGTTCCAGGCAGGACCTCACTGCTTGGGCTTGACCCACCCCACCCCACCACAGGCCCAGGAAGTGGCAGACAGCAGTACCAGCCTCAGAGCCGGTCGTCACAGAGAGCCCAAAGCCCAGGTCACAGAGCTGATGTGGCCACAGAGCCTGGGACGCAAAGCCCTATATCCCCAGCCACGCCTGCCCCTGCTGCCCACTCCTCAGCCTCCAATCACCTACTAAGTCTAGGTGACCCTTACACAGTCCCCCGAAGACCTCCCTCCCATCCTCCGGTGCCCAGCTCATGGACAGCAGCCCACCCCCACCGGAGCCCCTGGCCACCCCGGCTCCTCAGACCCATCCCTGCCAGCTCTCCATGTCCCTCCACGCTCCTGACGAGCAGTTCCGTCTGCCCAGTACTCTGGGCCAGAGGCCTGAGAACAGCCCCCAGCTCCGCCCGCAGCCCTTGTGCCAAGTCACAGAGTCGCGCTTGTTCTACCTGCTTCGTGACACCACCACCCTCACTAGACCTGAAGACAACATCTGCCGGGCCACTTCGAGGAGAACTTCTGCCCCTTGACTGTCCACCTTGTGTTCATAACTAACACTTTCACTCCACTATGCACCTGCTCAAGAACCATCTGTGGCTCCCTACTGCCTGCAGGATCACACTGTCACTCCTCAGCCTGCCTTTCTGGCGATATCTCTTGCCACTGTCTCTCATGTATTTGTGAGAACTTTGATTTGCACACCACTCTCTCCACACATTTGCTCAGGCTGTTCTCACAGCCCAGAATGCCTTCACCACACTCACTTCCCTAGCAAACTCCTATTCATTCTTCAAAACCCATCACCTCCAGAGAGCCCTTCTCAATACCCACCACCACCCATCCAAGACCTACTCCTCATGATTCTCACAGGTCATATACGTTCTGCTCTTATATTTGTGGAAGTGTCTTAGAACCCAGTGATCCCTATGCAAATGCTAGCTATTCTTGACCACCCAGCAGTACATGAACCAAGAAATTCCAGATGTTCAAGCTGGATTTAGAAAAGGCAGAGCAACCAGAGATCAAATTGCCAACATCCGCTGGATTATGGAAAAAGGAAGAGAATTCCAGAAAAACATCTACTTCTGCTTCATTGACTATGCCAAAGCCTTTGACTCTGTGGATCACAACAAACTGTGGAAAATTTTTAAGCAGACAGGAATACCAGACCACCTTACCTGCCTCCTGAGAAATCTGTATGCAGGTCAAGAAGCAAGTTAGAACTGGACATGGAACAACGGACTGGTTCCAAATTAGGAAAGGAGTACATTAAGGCTGTATATTGTCACCCTGTTTATTTAACTTATATGCAGAGTACATCATATGAAATGCCGGGCTGGATGAAGCACAAGATGGAATCAAGACTGCCAGGAGAAAAGAATGCATTTGAATCAGTTCTGATGAGGTGGATGAAAGAAATAAAGTGAAAAGTAAAGTCACTCAGTCATGTCCAACTCTTTGCGACCCTGTGGACTGTAGCCTATCAGGCTCCTCTGGACCATGGGATTCTCCAGGCAAGAATACTGGAGTGGGTTGCCATTTCCTTCTCCAGGAGATCTTCCCAACCCAGGGATCAAACCTAGGGATCGAACCCGGGCCTCCCGCATTGGAGGCAGACGCTTTAACCTCTGAGCCACCAGGGAAGCCCTAATGAGATGGATGGAACCGGAGCCTATTATACAGAGTGAAGTAAGTCAGAAAGAAAAACACCAATACAGTATATAACGCATATATATGGAATTTAGAAAGATGGTAATGATGAGCCTATATGTGAGACAGCAAAAGAGACACAGGCATAAAGAACAGACTTCTGGGCTCTGTGGGAGAAGGCGAGGGTGGGATGATTTGAGAGAATAGCATTGAAACATGTAAATTGCCATATGTGAAACGGATCGCCGGTCCAGGTTGGATGCATGAGACAGGGTGCTCAGGGCTGGTGCACTGGGACGACCCTGAGGGCTGGGATGGGGAGGGAGGGAGAAGGGGGTTCAGGATGGGGGACACGTGTACACCTGTGGCTGATTCATGTCAATGTACAGCAAAAACCACCACAATATTGTAAAGTAATTAGCCTCCAATTAAAATAAATTATTCAATAAAAAAAAGATTGCCAGGAGAAATATCAATAACCTCAGATAAGCAGATGACACCACCCTTATGGCAGAAAGTGAAGAGGAACTAAAGAGCATCTTAATGAAAGTCAAAGAGGAGAGTGAAATAACTGGTTTAAAACTCAACACCAGAAAACTAACATCATGACATCTGGTACAATCACTTCATGGCAAATAGATGGGGAAACAGTGTCTGAATTTATTTTGGGGGGCTCCAAAATCACTGCAGATGGTGATTGCAGCCATGAAATTAAAAGACGCTTACTCCTTGGAAGGAAAGTTATGACCAACCTAGACAGCATATTAAAAAGCAGAGACATTACTGACAAAAGTTCACATAGTCAAAGCTATAGTTTTTCCAGTGGTCATGAACAGATATGAGAGTTGGACCATAAAGAAAACTGAGCTCCAAAGCATTGATGTTTTTGAACTGTGGTGTTGGAGGAGACTATTGACAGTCCCTTGGACTGCAAGATCAAACCAGTCAATCCTAAAGGAAATCAGTTCTGAATATTCATTGGAAGGACTGATGCTGAAGCTGAAACTCCAATACTTTGGCCACCTGATGCAAAGAACCGACTCATTGGAAAAGACCTGATGCTGGGAAAGATTGAAAGCAGGAGGAGAAGGGGATGACAGAGGATGAGATGGTTGGATGGCATCACCAATGGACATGAGTTTGAGCAAGCTCCAGGAGTTGGTGATGGACAGGGAAGCCTGGCATGCTGCAGTCCATGGGGTCACAAAGAGTCGGACATAACTGAGCTACTGAACTGAACCAAATTCTCCCAGCAGTTTCCAGGGTTTTTCTTATAGTCTCTGTATATTCTAGACATTAAGCCCTGGTCCAATTAGATGTTGAAGGTATACTCTTTTCATTTATCACTTGCCTGTTAAATTTGTCTGTGACGTAGATTTCAGAATTATCAGATCAAGCAATTAAAATAACTATGATTCAATACTCTTAAGATCGTTAGGAAAAAGAAAAGTAGACAACATGCAATAATCAAAACTACTGTAAGCAGAAAGGTGGAAACTCTTAAGAAAAAATCAAAAGGAAATGCTAGAAATCAGAAACACTGTAAAAGAAATGAAGAATGCCCTTGACAGACTCATCAAGTGGACAGGCTGTGGCCAAGACAAGAATCAGTGAGTTTGCAAAACATGTCAAAAGAACTTCCCAAATTGAAATGCAAAGAGGAAAATGGAAAAAAGAGAACAGAACATCCAAGAACTGTGAAACGGTTTCAAAAGATGAAGCATGCCCATCACTGTGACACCACAAGAAGAATAGAGAATGGAGAAAAAGTATTTGAAGTAATAATGGCTGGGAACTTTCCAACATGAATGACAGATAGCAAACCACAGATCTAAGAAGCTCCGAAAACACCAAGGAGGAAAAGTATCTCAAAAACTACACCTACACATTTCATATTCAAGCTAGAGAAAAAGAGGAAATTTTGAAAGAAGCAAGAGGTAAAAGACACCTTATCCAGAGAGGAAAAAGGATTAGAAGTACATCAGACTTCTCTTCAGAAAGCAAGAAAGAAGAGTGAAATGGAATATCTAAATGTTCAAAGAAAAAGCCCACCGACCTGTAACTCTATCTCCAGCAAAATTATCCTTCAAAAATGAAGGAGAAGGACTTCCTTGGTGGGCTAGTGGTTAAGACCCGTGCTTCCACTGCAGGGGGCGCAGGTTCGATCCCTGGTTGGAGAACTAAGATCCCACAGGCAGCAGGATGTACCCCTCCCAAAATGAAAGAGAAACAAAAACTTTCGAGGACAAATAAAAATGGAAGGAATTCATCCCCAGACCTGCCTTGCAAAAAAAAAAAAAGCTTTAAAAAGTTCTTCAAAAAGAAGGAAAAAAATATATAGGTCAGAAACTTGAAACGACATTTTCTTTAAAAAAGGAAAAGTATCAGAGGAGGATTTTTTAAAGGTAAAATAAAATATTTTATTTTTCTTATTCTTAATTAAGCTGATGGATAAATGTTTATTTAAAGTAATGATACTAATAACATATTTTGTGTTAATAGTTTATGAATAAGTAAAATTAATGCCAAATAATTTAAAAGATATAGGAGGGAGAAATTGGGAATACTCTGTTACAAGGTAATTTTACTACATGTGACAAAGTATGTTATTTGAACACGGACTTAAATTAGTTATAAATGGAAATTCCAAACTCTAGGGGAACCCCAAAAATGTTTTAAAAGCATAATTGACACGCTTAAGAGAGGAGAGAAAATGGAACAATTAAAAATGCTCAGTTAAGGGGCTTCCATGGTAGCTCAGTGGTAAAGAATCCACCTGCCAATGCAGGATACACGGGTTCAATTCCCCATCTGGGGAGATCCCACACACCACCAAGCAGCTAAGCCCAGAAACCACAACTACTGAAGCCCAGGTGTCCCAGAGCCCATGCTCCCAAACAAGAGAAGCCGCCGCAAAGAGAAGCCTGCACCCAGCATCTAGAGCGTAGCCCCTGCTTGCTGCAACTAGAGAAAAGCCCACGCAGCAACAAAGACCCAGCACAGTCAGAAACAAATGTAAACAAATAAAAATGCTTTTTGAAAAGGCTCAGTTAAAACCAGAGAAGGCAGAAAAAGAGGGGAAGAAAAAAAACAGACCAAGTACAAAGAAGAAAAACAGTTACAAATATGGTAGATATTAATCCAACTCTATGAATAATCACTTTAAATATGAATAATCTAAATATACCAATTAAACAGTAGATTAAAGAAACAAGGCCCAACTGTTTGATATCAACAAGAAACCCATTTTCAATATGATGACACATATAGACTAAAAGCAAAGGAATAGAGAAAGATATACTGGGCTAATACAAATTTTAAAAAAAGCTAAATAGCTTTACTAATTTCAGACAAAGCAGACTTCAGAGCAAGGAAATTTATCAGGGATAAAAAGAGATATTACATAATAGTAAAGTGATCAATTCTTCAAAAAGATATAATAATCCTTATTGTGTATGCACCTACCAATAGGACATCAAAATGCATAAAGCAGAACTACATGGAGAAACACACAAATCTGCTATTATAGTTGGAGAGTTCAGTACCACTATGAAGCATACAGAAGGTCAGTAGGCCTATAGTTGACATGAACAGCATTATCAATTGACTTGATCTAATTGACATTTCTAGAATATGCCAACAACAGAATACACACATTGCAAGCTCACATGAAACACTGACCAAAACAGACCACATTCAGGACCATAAAACACACCTTAACACATTTTAAAGAATGGAAGTCATAAATGTTTCATCTCGTGCCACAGTGGCATTAAATAAGAAATCAACAATAGAAATATACCTGGAAAGTCCAAAAATATTTGGAGGTTAAACAACACAGGAGCCTAAATAACATAAGCGTCAAGGAAGACGTCTCAAG